GGCAACGATAGGAACAGATAAAGAAGAAGCAAGATGGATTTCGCTCTAGCCGTGGTTGTTTGAACGGAGCTTTGCCTTTCGAGAGATGCTCGAACATTGTCACATCAACCGGACTAATAAACAGTGTATTTTTGGATACCAGAGCAGCCTTTGATTCCCTGTAGGAGACTCCTATAAGGGAATGTATTCGGAGACAGAATATCTCAGAAGTGCATCACATTCCTTGTCCTAAGGGCGGACTAGGGTCTAGGGTAAGCTCTGTCCCTCTTGCTTACTATAGCTAGTGAGGTACGGGAACGATATCCCCGATACGCGAAGTGCTCATTTAAAACCATCAGTAGCCTACGTTAGCTCTTACCTTGACTAATGAATGACAGGAAACCGTCAGTTACTCAATTATCTCGAGAAATGGCAGATGAGAAAATCTCCAGAAGAGCTGAGAATGTCCGTGCGTTTTTTATTATACAGCTGTGTGTGAAGAACAGCAGATGGGGTGGAATCCCATCACGAAGATCTGCTGTTCAGTGATGGTAACCGACAACCTGATCCCCGGGACTTGGAGTGGCAAACCACATAAGGCCCCGATAGGTCAGGTGTGGTATAGAACCGGGCGACAGCAAAGCTGCCTACCACCTAAGTTAGGTGGCGGTGGCAGGACTCGAACCTCGGACAATAGGGTCCAAAGCACGCCGGTGACAGCGGCTAAACCATTGCGCCACCACCTTGTTCTCCTGTTTGAGACATTAGCCTTGCGCTGAGAGATTGAACATTGACCGCCACTGTGTACAGTGTACTACCACACGGGTATGAAGTCAGAGCAGTTCGATTCGAGGCCGTTCACTGCTTAGTGTTTTATAGCGGTTGTCAATCGATCGTTATTGTCGAGAGCAACATGTGAGTGGTGATTACATTTAACTGTGAAAGCTTTTTCCTAAAAACCGTGACCGCTCTATACTGACTGTGATGGCTCGAATACGTGTTCAGCTTGTCTATTCAGACAGCACCACGACGAGTTCTGCTCATGTGCATCAGGGACAGGAAGAGAGCGCATAGAGGCAAGTCCAAGACATGGCGAAGTGGAATAGGGAAATTGGCAGAAATGCTGCTGCTTGTACAGTCGTGTCGAGTTCCGGGTCGGGGTTCAAATTATATACCGGAGTGAAAGCCTTGAAAGATATGGCTCGTGTTCGGATTAGTGGAGCAGTGGTTCAGTTTTCCACGGTTTCTTCATATTCTAACAGCATCAGCAGGCGACAGAAAAAGAGAAAACTCCTGACTTTGTTAATCTCTGCTTACTCAGAATTCAGAGAATGGTTCTGCAGAAGGAAAGGGGGTAAATGCACAGATGTAATGAATCACATCGCCTTCCTTTTCAGTTGCCACGGTACAGTGATTATGCAATACTGGAGCCCAACTTCATGGTGTTATGTTAGGAGAAAAAATCGAAACTCATTCCACGGTTCTCGTATCGTTAAGCCACAGTACATAGCTGGTTGTGTTTCCTCCTTTTCTCCAATTCCTCGAGTGTATTCAAAGTAAATAAATAAATTTCTTTCATGAAAAGCCTCTTATTTTAACGTCGAACTAACCCATCGCGATCGGTCATTCTTTCTTATCGCTACTATCTCGGATTTGCATATCTGGAGCTTATTTATCCGAACATGTCTCTCTCGTCCGAGCCCATTCACTTAACACTTAACACTCTCCTCGGCAGACTAGCAATCTGATTCCAGAGGTTGCACATATGGTTCCCTGTGTCCTTTTGTCCCCCAATATGCCGGACTATAGAACTGACTATCACTGAAGACGACACCTGAACAAACATGAATTGGCGATTTGGTTCAGCCATGGTACGAGCTGGTTGGCACAGTGGTAACGCACACGCCTTGCATGCGATGAGTCCGGAGTTCAAATCCCGGACGGGACGGTGAATATGCACTACTGATGAGCTCTAATAAGAGCGAAACTCGAGTCTAGTGCTTCCGAGTGTATGGTTGAATCGATGAACTGAGGATTGTGCGTGAAAGTGAAGTCCGATTATCCCGCACCACTACTCACAAGTAATTGTGAGTCAAATGCGGACTATAGAATACTCTCCTCGGTTTTTGTCAGGAAGGTTAAATTCCAAAAAAGTCTGGTCGAAAAATTCATATTTTTGGTGAAAATAGCCAAAAGAAAAAAGCCGCAATTGGGTAAGCCTCCGGGCCGAAATGATCGGTCAGTGTACACGACCAGACGGTCCGACATTTTTGATTGGTCAGACAGCGTAGTTAACCGGGCGTTCCGACAACTCTGGTTGATCAATTATACCGAACGTTCAGAACGCACCGAAGACAATAAGTAGAACGAATGCAAACCCGTAAAAAAGGAAGACATTTTTTTCTAATACACTATCCTGTGCCATTTTGATTGTGTTCTCTTCTTCGGCTCGGAAATTGGTGGTGCGATAGTGGTCTCAGCAACAGTAAGTACACAACAGCTTTTTATCTTGTCACCTTTTCAAGAAACTAATCAATAAAACTGGATTTTATGGTTTCTCTGCATAAGACTGGACCAATGAGGCCTGTTTTCTTCACACTAAATTCTGTTGATTTTGCAATAAAATAAATTACGATCTAAGCATAGTTAACCAATTTTCATGTAAAACTTCTCATAACGCGTTGGAGGATGTCCAGAACCGTGTGCAACACAGTCGAGATAACGAAGTATTTATTGCCATTGAACATGTTATGACCGAAAGTTAACTTTGAAATTACTAAGTCTATAAATAAATGCCAATCGGCCAGTTCGAAGGATTAAAATAATATTCTAAGAGAGAGAGAGGATTTCAGTAGACTTCTGTTTGTAACAGTGGGGTACCTGGATTGATAAACGCAGATAAATGAAATCAAACGGTTTATCCTTTGAGAATGTCAACCCTAAGAGAGCACTGTGACCTATGAAGTTGAAAGTCAATCCCGAATCGAGACTGACTATAAAGATATCATGTTAGTAGAAGATATAATGACATTTTCATTTAATCAATATATTTTGGTTTAGCCCATGATAATTTACAAACAACAGGACTGACCTTGCTGTGTCTCACTTCTAGGGATTTCCCACTAGCTTAGGGGCATTTTATCCAGTGGTGATACTGCGTACTACTGTTGTGTCCCTGCCAGGCCTGGAACCACGAAATGGTAACCGCTGAACTACATTGTCAACGTCTTGTGCACATGGTTGCATCTGGTGGTTCGCTATTGCTCTGAATCAGCCCAGTTCTGGACACTGGAGTCTATACTGATCTTATTGCTCTTGGTTTGATCGTGGTCAAAAGAAGTAGTCGGAAAAAAGCGCAAGGCTCGTATTCAGTAGAATGCATCACACAGTGAAAGTGGGAGGAGAGGTAAAATTTGGAGAGAGCAAATCAAACAATTTGTGTTACTGAGACTGGGAAAGTTCACGTGATCGGTTTTCCGCTGGAGAAACGCGATTGACTACAACTTATGAATAAATGTGGTCGATGGGATAGGAAGGAAATAGAGCGACACGGACCAAAAGGTAAAAACTGTGATAATAATAATAAGAACAAGGAGATACAAACAATGAGGAGGCAGGGGAACCCAAAAAGAGAGATATTGACGAAACAAAAACGATCAGATAAGTCGGAAAAGAAGAAAATTGACATCTATGCACACAACATGCTCCGTTGAATTTCGAGTGAATAAATTATGGATAGAATACTATGGTAGTGGTTGTAAGAAGCTATAGGTTATCGTCGCAAGTTGATTACCCGGCTGATCGAGAGAAATCAAATGAAATCATTCGTACAACTCCAAATATAATGATTCACAGAAACCGGAATTCCCTGATATCCCAGAGGCAAATATAAATAAGCCATGCTAAGCGATGGTCATTAAACGACCGGAGGAACGAAACTGTATTATTCAAGACTACTGTCCTATGTGCCGTATAAATAACTACACTTTTCTGTATTGGACACCAGTTGTCATCAGTACGCACAACATTGTGAAATGCAAAGTTCCATATTCGTTACTGGAATCCAACTTTGGTGGTCGTCCGGCTCACAAATACGCATCTCCGATTGAGGATCCCATTGTTTTGAACTCTGTAAGTATGTACGCGTCTATTTCACACGCGTCTGAGAACCGTTTATGATTTACTTCAGGGCACGATAATCTTAAGTTTCCTAGGCCAAAGCAGATGAACTTTCTTAGGGAGTTCACAACCGAAGCCTTTGGTTAGTTGAATTCTGACTCGCAAGGCAGCAAGTCCTATGTTTAGGTCACGAGGTCCAAAACCAAACGGCGAATTTTAGGAAAACATAGGTTTTGTGCAATAAAAATGGTCTATTCGTCGAAAGGTGACTTGCAGTGAACATAATTTATACCGGAGTTTTAGACGAAACGTAAACCGGGCTTGGTGAAACACACCCATGATTAAAACGCTCGCAAAGTTTGTCGCCAGCTGGTTAAACCTCTGCAATCTTGTGATCACGAATTTCCGATTTGGGAAACAATAAATAGGCAGAGAGGAACCATTGTAGTGATTCATGTGAGTATACTGAAAAACAGGAGCTGTCAAATCCGATATTAATTGATCATATGTGCAGTGATTTAGACACTGTTACCAGCGTGCTCTGGAACCTATGATCAGGGGTCTAAACCCCGCCACCGTTACCCAATTTAGCTGGTAGACAGCTTAGAGTTCATCCGGTTCAATACCACGACTGACCTAGCGGAGCCTTATGCGGTTCGCCACTCCAAGTCCCGGGGCTTAGATTTCCAGTTTCCATCACCGAACAACAGGTTTTCGTGAATATGGGATACAACCAGTCTGCTGTTCATCACACAGGTGTCATAAAAAAATAGAACATATCTTCAACAGTGTGCCACATTGTATACATTCAACAGAACCCCAATATTTACCGATAAAAATAAACTCCATTAGAAACACCGAACACAAACAAACTGTTTACAATGTTCGATAGGGAATATCATCTAAGAGATAGCCTCAATCACGAGAATACTAGCACAACTTACATCTACATAGTCCCAACTCAGGCGATTTGAAGCTATCCCAAATGCCCTCAAAACACGGTTGAGGTGCATGCGGAAAGCCGGTAAGTCAGCTTCGACTATGTGATGCGTATTCTTATTTGCCTCGCCACCTGATCGGGAAACTGCGTTGCTATTCACGATTCCACTGGTCTGGTCCCCCACGAATTCACCGGTTTGCTTGCCACGAACTCGATATGGCACTGAGCTTCCGGGCCAGCGACCAGTTTCCATGAGAAAGCTTGATGCACCGCGGAGTACAATGTACCAAAGCATGGCATCGTTCTCCTCATGTGTTGGGATCAAGGCTGAACGAAAAAGGATGAATAACGGCTATGAGAATAGAGATAAAGACAACTCAGAATAGGCGTTCCGTGATGCAAGAGGAAAGCTTGCTAGCGGCTCTGAACCAGTATTTCACTCTTTACGGAATCCTTAACAATCCAAGTCCATCAAATCTTATAGAAATCTAATGATTATTCTAGGAATCGAATTGGACGAGCTCTTTTGGATGAATTCAAAGTTGAGTTTCCGTGTCAGATATAAAAAAATCATGAACAACTCGACACGAGCACTGATTTCGGAAGACAGTAAAATAAGGACAATTTGACAGATTGGAGTTACCCGGAAATAAGGCTCTGTAACCAAAGTTCTGGCCGCCCATCGGAAGTGTGCGTATACGGAAATCTTTCGCGCGGCACATCTGCGGAGGTTGGAAAAACCACCAACCCGGAAAAATAGCGAACAACAATGCAATACCTTGAAAGTGAGGCAATCGTAAATTGCTCCCAAATTAGGGTTCTCTAAAGAACTACACAACACGGGGTGCGGATACGTTAATGANATATATATATATATATATATATATATCAATGAGTGAAAAGCACAGTACATGAACTCACCCAAATCCTCAGATCGGGCGGGTGACAATTTCATTTCTTCTTCTAACGATCGGCAACGAACAACACGGAGAAAAGCTGAATTCCTAACTGCAACCGAGAAAAAAAGCAAACAATATCCTTTTTGTGAAACCTCCTTATCGACCAAATTGTAAATGTCAGTAGAACGCGTCAATTTTGATTGTTTTACAACATGATGAATGACTTTGTACTACTATTCATATCACACGCATGCACACGACTGCTACGTTTCTATTCGTTATTTCACGATACAGTCAGTCTTAAAACAGATAACTGAACCACAAAAGTGGAGGGCCCCATGGTGGATGGGTGCTAATACGGAGAGACTATTTTTGCTCGAGTGTTTGGAAATCCAGTCCAATCTCAGCTGTGATGGTTTATTTTGTTTTCTTTAAAGCAAATTCTAACTTCATGGGCGGGGTGGCCCGGTAATAACGTGTGTTTGAATCCCACCACCACCGACTAACCTTCCCAATCTCTGTGCAGTATAGCAGCCGTTTGATGTCCGCTTACCCCTTCCTGAAAACTGTATCTCTGCATATGTAATAAAAGGAAGAAGGAAACAAAAACATTCTACTGTATACTCCAACGCTCGTGATCCTAACCAGTGAGAAGCTGTCATCATCACCCTAAGGAGTGTATATATCATTACCCGGATTAAATTGACCGTGTGGTGGTGTCCACGGGCCAGCGCACATGGCATTTCTGTAGATCCCGATTACGAAGCGAAATCGTGCTATCACCAACCACCTGATGAAGGACCCAGAAAACTTTGTATGTAAACTACAGTATACATCTACGGGTACAGCAGCAATTTGTCCAAGTGCAAAATCAAAATACAAACGATCAATTTTAGCGGTGATTGCTGCCTGAACAGATGACTATAGAACTATTCATAAAGATATCATATACAACACTATGCGCGAATGCGTTGATCACTGAGTCTGAGAACCGATTGCGATAGGTGGCGGACGGCAATGTATGTTGGCAAAAAGAAGACTGCGACCATTGATTAGTATAAAATAGTGTTTATTCATTCAGGAGTTTCAGTTCACAAAACTAAGAGTAAACCAAGCGTCTACGGAGTCCAATGACACATTGATCTACATAATCAGTAACGCTGACTGTAACGGTGAGCAGAACAGGTATGAACGCTGGGAAACTAGCACGCGACGAAATTTCATTTGACCCCCGATGCAAGTCTTTCACCACACATTAATTCCAGCCCTCCGTTTGGCACGGATGGAATTGATGATCGTTTCTCGGAAAGTTAGCGGCAGTCAAAGCAAGCGGAAAGTTACATGACCATACAACCTATAAACACACTGTGCAGATTTCCTTTTATTCACATTTGGCACATTTGCCCGCACTGAACCGTTGAGACGTACGGCGCGAAGTCGGCTACCGACTGGAATCCAGTCAAGGAGCGAGCAATCAGCCTTGGCAGTTAGCACAATCTCGACACCAGCAACACCGCGAGCTTCGGACGCCGGATCGCCTGACACACGAAAGGTGAAGCGTGAGGTTGAGGTTGGGTCAGGAGAACGCAGGGAGATCAAAGAATTGGGGTCTTGTATGCGTGTTTCAGAGACACAACCTACATCTAAATTGAAAGTTTCAAGGGTTCTAGCTAAGGCAGCTTGTTTACCGATCTGATAGACTGTGCGGATATTAAACGCGGCCAAGTGAAAAGGGAATTTCGGCTTCAAAAATCCTGTAACTTCTGATTGTTTCGACTTGTTGGTAAAACGCTGAGTGATATCCGATGACTTTTGTAAACAGCAGGCGTTTGGGATTATTCGGGATTGAGAGGAAGGACTAGACAGATGCGAAAGATGGTTTTCCAAATGGGTGTCCAAGACTTTAGGGCACGGCATNTTCGGAGACACAACCCACATCTAAATGGTGGGTTTCAAGGGTTCTGGCTAAGGCGGCTTGTTGACCGATCCGGTAGAGTGTGCGGACATTGAGTGCGGCTAAGCGGAAAGGAGATTTTGGTTTCAAAAATCCGATAGCCTCTGATTGGTTGACATTAGTTGAGCGTTGAGTGATATGCTATGGGTCTCGTAAGCAGGAGACACCTGGGAATATTCCGGATTGAGAGGAAGGACTAGACAGATGCGAAAGATGGTTTTCCAAATGGGTGTCCAAGACTTTAGGGCACGGCATACTTCGCGGTAGCCCACACCGACGAAGGGGTTTTTCTTTGGGAACCCTAACCGGAGCCTTTGACTCAAAAGTCTGACACACAAGGCAGTGGGGCGTAAATCCAACGCAGGAGCGTGAACGAAGCACCCATGTGGGAGCTTCTGGAGACCTGTCACGCAAGGCCTTTGAATTTCGATTAATTGTGTTGNTTGTTCGCTGGTGCGTTGATTTTCGGTCCGCTGTTCGGGATCAGCCCTCAGCCTCATGCACCCGATGAGACAAGCGGAACGTGGACGGGACAGCACCTTATTGACTGGGGGCTGCCCAGCTTGGGCGGGCGGTAGCTGTCTAATGAAGTGCGAAGACTTCTCCTACCGTCGACAGAAAGCCCCAGGTACCACGCTCCTACGTCCATCTAGCGGGGTGTTTTGACCGGTAAACTGCCCCTCACCGTGTTTATTTACTGAATTGACCTCTCCAGGGGCGGGTGTGGATAGAAGAAATAAGCCAGGGGGTGCCCAAGCAGCTGGCTTGTGAGACTGAGCTTCGTTTGACCTCTACTCGTTGACTTTTCATGTATGATTGGATCTGCCGCCGTGAGGAGCAGAGTCATGGAGGCACGCAAGCCATCATACCACGTCAAGGTGCAGTCTCGTCGTGATGGAATAATAATAGTGGCTGTATACTAATATATTCATGAGGCCTAATTCTGCCTGAGGATGATTTGGCTTCACGGATGCTGCCCATACGCGGCGTTCAGCAATATAAAGCGAAAGTTAGTTCAGTTCCCAGCTTCGGAGGCCATACAGCTTACGGATCCATGCTCCATTTGAAGGCAGTGGTCCGCATCTTTGACCGACGACTAAAACGACAGTGTCATGCCGAAAGCAGCACTAGGGACTCGACGTATTACGGAAGCCATAGAACACGGTCGAATACTAGAGACGCCGGTTTCACAGCAATGTAGAAGGTTTATTGATAAAATAGCAGTACCGCTGGACTTCCGCATCAGAAAATATATCGTATCACATGACTTTCAAGATGTTGCATTAGCACCAATAATCGAAAACCTCGAATCCTGTGAAGTTTTGGCCACTAACAGCCCCATACCGCAGCTGTAATTCAAGACAAAATGGATAGGAGCTCGATGAACTCACATTTCAGGAGGGAAACCGAATCTGTTGCGGGAACAATGAACGCGATGGAGGTATAGAAAGGTCCTCTTACTAATGCAACCATCAGATGAATTCAATCTTTAGTTTAGCCGTTGAGCTGGACGAGGACAGTCGGGATACTGATGATGCCTTAGAGATTGGAGGTCCCCAAAGAGAAATGAGACGTATGTTGGAATAGCTTTGAGGGAAGTTTAGGATGATGGACAGCTAAATTATGCCTTAAAGTGCCCAGCCTTGGGTGTAAGAAAGATGTCGCGGTTAATCATGAGTAGGCCAGTCGTCAGCGTCGTAAATCGTTTCGCTCAAATCTGATGCTTTCCTAAACATTGAACAGCTTATGGTAATTACCCATAGTAGTAGCACGAATCATCTCTAGAGCACATCGAAAACACCAGATTTCGCGATTCCTGTGTAGACTTACGTCTCACTTCAGGTCAACAGCTAGCCCTCGTTGGCTAGGCAATGGAAATCTATCCGTAAAACGCCCCACAAATGCGCCTTGTTCGAACTATTCTAGCATTCATCTCTTGTTACAATCACATTATTAGACCTGATAGTTTTACGCAAGAGAGTGCGAAGTTTGTGCTGCAAAAATAGATGGGAAACAAATCGGTTGTATCGGGACGGAGACTGCTCATCCTACATAAACATCAAAGTTGCACCTGAGCTTGATCAACTGTTGACTTGGAGCCAATATAGCAGTGCGGCTTTCGTGAATAAAGCCAACGCGAACAACGGGAGAATCCACAGAGTCAGTGGATTCAATAGAGGCATCCATATGATAGAGCTAGACTCTTGGAAGCCAGCCTCTTGGACACTGCACAACCATGGCTAGCATCTTGAGCACACGAGCCAAACGTACCAGTTGTCTTTCATGCATCAAGGTTCGCAAGTTAAATGTCTGGTTTAAAGGGGTGTCTAGGATGAAGAAGAATATCCGCCGGTAGAGGAAAACGCTGTGACATGAAAAATGAAATAAATAAGAATATTACTAGCCATTACCACCGTTAGACTGACATGGAGGAAAGAACAGCGTTCACCAAGTGTTTCAGTTCCATACTCGAGGTTATGATTAGAGCATGTGCTATCCAAGTCACCTAAATTGTCTTCCGATGCAAGTAAAGGGTTATAAAACCACGGGTTGTCTGATATGAAGGTAAGAACATTTTCACTGGCGAGTAAGTGTCAGATCACGGTCCTCAACATGGATTTTGGTCGATAGATTTAGAGATTGGGTAGTACGACTGAGTTTCGCGAACTGTTACCTTAATGAGCGCTTCCCTCTTTAGCTTAATCCGCATTCGTATTTCTTCTTCCGCAACGGACTCAATGGGTTGCCAAAAGAAGACATTGGAAATTGAAGTAAACAGATGCAGGGTTATTGGTAGCACAAAATTTAAACGCCCACATCGCCAACAATGCAACATTTCGGGAAACTCACCAAATAGACGAACATCTTCCAACGAGATTTCGGTAAACTAAAGTAGAATTAGAACAGAAAGTAGAAGTATCAAATTGATACGCACTGTTCAATATAACAACGGTTCTAACAGAGAGAATTCATTACTAAACCAGACAAACGGGAACAGATCAAGGGTGAACATGAACGAAATTCGATGTCATGGCGAGTGACACGGTTTTCGTCCGTTCTCAGGTCACGGCGTGACCTGTTTCAGTGCGTCATTTGAGTCTTGAGTTCCATTGGCGCGTACACGTGATCCAGTTTGATGTGCCTGTTTATTGAGTTGAAGAGTGCCAAGTCTCGAGAAATTCTCTGGCATGTTTCGACCAGACTTGATCGATCATTTTTACTGATTCGAAGTCAAAATGATGGTCTTCTTGATATTCGTGGAGGGTAATCGACGATAATAGATCATGTCTCCCAACTGGCGATTGGTGTTCACGAATCCTTGTTGACAGCTTTCTCCCTGTTTGTCCGATATAGTGTTTTGGGATGTTCCTGCAGTTTATTTTGTAGATATCTACATATCTAATTTCAGGGTGTGATTTGGGTACCAGCGGCAAAATACTTCTAACCTTCTGATATGTTCAGATCATGGAGACCACCGTGTTCGCAGTCACTACAAACAATCTAGCCCGTTGTTATCCGTCTGTAGTACTACTTCATGCTGCGCTTAGTCATTTGGAAATAAAGTGAAGACATCTGAATGATGGTGCGCACTCGACAGGCTGATTGGTGAGCAACCACTAGAGTGACGGGACAGGTTGAAAATGCCATGCACTTCGATGTGTTCTCTTCTAGCACGACGAACTTGGCGAGAGAAAAAACGATTTGGTTGAGGACTGACAAGACTAAAGCAGGCAAGCCTATGAGGATGAGGATACGCTCCGTGAAATCCATGTCCGACGTGCAATTTTCCTGACGCCGTTGGAAGTAATGATATCCGGCCACTGCCTATCTCATTGTCCAATCGGTAGCGTTGGTGAACAATACTTGTCTGATTACGATACCGTGTGCAAAGGTTTAGAATTCCTAGTCATAAATGCGGACCAGTTGGAACAACTTTTCTGACCTTAAAAAGGTAATGACTGTAGCAGGAACATGAATCCATTGATATGATGCGAAAACATCCAACTTTCTAGGCTACCTACACCATTAATGCTGGAGACCATGCGCACACGCTTGACATTTGTCAACAGCCTATCCGTATTACTAATCTCGAATTAACACATTCCTTCCACTTGTCAGATTGAAACTGTCTCATTTCATTCTCTCCTCTGTTCGTCCGTTTCATCCCTCCTTCTTCCGGATGGCTTCGCAAACTTTTGAAACTTCCTGCAATCTCACCCTGTTGCATTTATCCAAACGCTTTAACTTCCACATTTAGATTCTACGGGTTTTTTTAGTGAAATACATAACCGTTTGGTCTGAATTCACCTAAAACCGGCAAGTTGCTTTCTTTACGGTGGTTCAATCAAGCCTGTTTTTGTAATTTTCGTCAGTATTCAGTTTTCCGGCAATGGGAGCACTCATGGACTCGCGGTAGCAGTTCAGAACTGTACGATAACAACACCGACCGACAAAAAAGGCCTTTCATCAACACACGAAGTCATATGTGGGCAGAATGTACATTGGTCAACAATTTCGGGTGCTCTCATTCAGCTACAAATGTGTATTCATACAATCTTCTCAAACAAACAAACAAACACAGTAGCTGCAACGAGTCACGTGAATAAGGTGGTGGACAAGACAGTTGCGAGATTTGAGTTTGGCCACGGGTTGAGGTCAGATCAGATGATGAAATTTACTAATGGCTTTGCCAAATCAACTATATTTCAATTTCAAACTCACTTGTTTCACACGGGACGCAATCCGTTCCACAGCCCATTCAGACTGATCCCGGTAGATTGACAACAACCGAAGATATCGTTTCGAATCCGAAATCATATCGGGGAGGTTACCACGGACAGGCAGTTGACCACTACCCTCGTTGTGGACGAAATCACGGAGTGCACTGACCAGACGCCAGAAGTTTTGATTTGTCAGCGGTAATCGGAGCGTCGTGGAAGCTGGTCTCAATTGATCGGTCACATGGTGATGATGTGATCTGGACGACTGGAATGCACGATTATCGCAACGGAAAGTGTAAAGCGGTAGTGAGACAAAAGAGACCTCGGATGTTTTCACCTGAACATAACGAGCATGTACACCAGCTCATGCGATGAGATGTGAGATACTGCTGTCTGGTGCGAACAGATGTCATTAATAGGTCTGCGAAATCTATTTTCCAGATAAATATGGATGGCATACAAGAGGCAGATTATAGTTTTTGTGTTTCACAGAGTAAGACAAACAAAAGCCGACGGTTGGGTCAATCTCGTAGGGAAAAGCTAGTGCAATCGACCCAGGCTGATGAATATTTCGTGAAAATTTGATTACAGTCATTGGATTAAACGCAAGAAGAATACCGGTTTTATTGAATATGATTCTATTCCTCCTGTTAGGCTTTATATCGATAACTAAAGTGGTATGTTTCAATGACTTGTCTCATCTGGATGACGTGCTAGTGATTTGACACTGTGCGGAGGAGACGGAAACGGTTGTGCAATGATCAAACTGGTTTACCCTGGCAATCGATCGATAAATAAAGCGAGATACCTAAATGAAAGAAAATCGGTACGAATGCTTTCACTTACCGGATTATTCCCACTTTCCATATCGGATAGTGACGCAGCGTTGAAACATCTTTCATCTTCAAATAATTCTCGCACCTCCGGCGGAATCTGACAAAAACGTGGAAAAACAAATCCATTGAAACCAAAATAACGAAGGTTATATATACATATACAGGTATTGACCAAACTCGTGCAACATACTGATTTTCATCATATTTGTTCCTCTCAATGCTTCATTCTTTCAGACTCATTCACGAGATTGAATTGGATATTGCTCCACATCAGATGCAACATATCTGATATAATATCCACTTGTGTCACTGCTTATAT